TGGCCTCCAACCTGAGAGTGATGGCCTCCAACCCAATAACGATGGCCGCCTCCAACCTAAGAGTCAATGGCCTCCAAGCCAATAACGATGGCCTCCAACCTAGTAGCGATGGCCCCCAACCTGAGAGTGATGGCCTCCAACCTAATAACGATGGCCTCCAACCTAAGAGTCGATGGCCTCCAACCCAATAACGATGGCCTCCTCCAACCTAGTAGCAATGGCCTCCAACCTGAGAGTGATGGCCTCCAACCTAATAACGATGGCCTCCAACCTAGTAGCGATGGCCTCCAACCTGAGAGTGATGGCCTCCAACCTAGTAGCGATGGCCTCCAACCTGAGAGTGATGGCCTCCAACCTAATAACGATGGCCTCCAACCTAAGAGTCGATGGCCTCCAACGATGGCCTCCAACCTGAGAGCGATGGCCTCCAACCTAGTGGCGATGGCCTCCAACCTAAGAGTGATGGCCTCCAACCTGAGAGCGATGGCCTCCAAGAGCGATGGCCTCCAACCTAGTAGCGATGGCCTCCAACCTAAGAGTGATGGCCTCCAACCTAGTAGCGATGAACTAAGAGCTATGGCCTCCAATCTAAGGGCGATGGCCTCCAACCTAACAGCGATGGCCTCCAAGAGCGATGGCCTCCAACCTAGTAGCGATGGCCTCCAACCTAAGAGTGATGGCCTCCAACCTAATAACGATGGCCTCCAACCTAAGAGGGATGGCCTCCAGCCTAATAGCGATGGCCCCCAACCTAAGAGGGATGGCCTCCAACCTAATAGCGATGGCCTCCAGCCTAATAGCGATGGCCTCCAACCTAAGAGCGATGGCCTCCAACCTAAGAGCGATGGCCTCCAACCTAAGAGCGATGCCCTCCAACCTAGTAGCGATGGCCTCCAACGTAAGAGTGATGGCCTCCAGCCTAATAGCGATGGCCTGCAACCTAAGAGGGATGGCCTCCAACCTAATGGCCATGGCCTCCAACCTAGTTGCGATGGCCTTCAACCTAATAGGGATGGCCTTCAACCTAAGAGCGATGGCCTCCAACCTAAGAGCGATGGCCTTCAACCTAGCAGCGATGGCCTCCAACCTAATAGCGATGGCCTCCAACCTAATCGCGATGGCCTCCAACCTAATAGCGATGGCCTCCAATTTAAGAGTGATGGCCTCCAACCGAAGAGCGATGGCCTCCGACCTAATAGCGATGGCCTGCAACCCAAGAGCGATGGCCTCCAACCTAAGAGCGATGTCCTCCAGAGAGGGCGATGGCCTCCAAACTGTGTGGGATGGCCTCCAACCTAAGAGCGGAGGCCTCCAAGAGCGATGGCCTTCAACCAAAGAGCGATGGCCT